TGCATTCAGATGCCAGGTACTACTATTTTCATATTTGTGACATCAGACCGCTCTGGAGCTATATCTTGTTGGATGGGGTTTCTTTGAGTCAGCCTCCTCATACTATACATATGGACCCCCCTCTTAAACCATCCTAGAAAATTTAAGTATTCATGATCTGGGTTAAGATGATAATGAACATGAAAAAAAATAAACTTTTTGATATTTAAAATTGATTTAGTTGAAAAAGAAAATTTAAGAATTCATGATCTGGGTTAACATGATGATGAACATGAAAAAAAATAAACTTTTTGATATTCAAAATTGATTTATTTGAAAAAAATTCTACACCGTATAAACCTTGTGAGTTGTTAAAAGGTTGCTCTTGCACCTGTGAACTCATGAAGGACTTTTCCTAAAAAATTTTGGTTCTCTCTGTCTTGTATATAAAAAACTGGAACCCTCAAAATCAAATGTATGGTTTGATAACGAGATACTTAATAAAGAAAAAACAATTTTAGTTTAAAGATCTTCATATAGCCCTCTCTTATTAGACCTTCATTGTCACTCAAGTTGCAAAATACATTACGCTTTGAGACTGAAGGGCACTACTCCTGTAGCAACGGATTATACAGCGCTAAGGTTCTCATAGGGTTGATGGGCATTTGGCCACCACAGTTATCAGTGTGCAGATTGTAAGATTCAAACAACACAGTCAGCGAGGGGTGGTTTCATCCTCTCTCTCTTTTTTGTTACACTAGCCGTTGAACACTTTTACAACACATTTGAGCGGTTCACTTGGAAAACGCAAATATGCCCCAAATAAATCACATAAAAAGATAAGTCACAGAAACAGAAAAAGTGTTGGGAAAAGAAAACTGTTTGCCCTTGGCTATCGGTCTAAAAAATAAATTCAGTCCATTCACACTCCACCCATAGAGACTGAATTGATCAATATGGAGTCTGCCGATTCAACCTAGCTTGTCTGCAAGAAAGGTTCTAGGAGAAAAGGAAACTAGAAACGAAGAAAGGGGTTTCCCCCTTCTGAGAACTCGAGCCCGTAGAATCTTGAGAAGTTCCATTAACACCACTGTTCAAGTCACATCAGGAATGGTCTAAAAGGATAGAAACAACCGAGTACATTCTCATACATTGCACTCAATTAAGAACAGAGAAAATAGATTTGTAGGGATTCTTATAAACCATATCTTTCAAGCCCACTTGATAAACCACCAAAAATGCTCATTCCTGTGTGAAGCACTAAGAAATAGAAATAGCCTTAACTGTAGCAATTAGTACCAATGACCAGAATCAATTTTACTGTGATGCTAGAAAAGAATTGAGGAGATAGAAGACACCAAAGAGAGGATAAGTATGCCTGTAAGCTGTAACATGAGAAAACTGGGAGTGCAACAGGGCCAACTGTAAACGACAGAACAATATCGCTCAAGGACCCCACTGTGGTTCACGAGCTTAAAGATCCATCAAAAAAGCTTATGGCCATCTATATAGTTTGTCTAGTGTGACGATTTGGTTATATGTATAATCATAAGACTCAGGTTCAGACAAGCAGGCCAGTAGATTGAACAATGACATCTAAGCTGGGGATAGCTTGCAAAAGATTAAGATACTGACAAATTTGGAGCAAGGATAAAGAAAACCACGATGTACTGGGAATGGAGAACAGGTGGTGGGAAGACAGGCAGCAAGGCCTCTCTCTCTCTCTCT